ATTAAACCAACAGCACAAAACTTGGGCTTATTAGGTTTTGTCAGGCTTTGTTTTTGGGTTGTGCTCTTAAGAAACTACTTCCTGGGAAGAAAAGAGAAAAGAAGTGTTGTTGAAGTGAATGCAAAGTATTTCATGAGATGGGTAGAACTTGTATGACTGTACATCCACATAACCTAAACTCCTCATGCTGCAGACAGCTGGCATAGCCCCCTCTTCCTTAGCACATAGGTTTATTGAAAAATACTTCAGGTAATCTGCTTAAATGTTATATAGAACATTAAGAGCTTGATTCAATGCCAGAAGAAAACCAAAGTGTCACATGCTATGTATTTTGAGTAGCCTGAATTGTAATACTAAAAGTACCTTATTTCCTTTGGAGAAGCCACAGGCAACCCCAAAAGACCAGAAGAAACCCAACCCTTCAGCAGCAATCTGGAGCAGCCAGTTTTGCTGAGGAGGAACACTGAACACTTATTTTCTTCTGAAAAATCAGAGCAGTCACTTTATTCATGTGTGGAAACACAACCTCCCCACTATGTTTAATGTCACAAAAATGCTAACTGCTCACGGGGGAAATATTAGATCAATGCTAAAAAACAGCTGGGAAAGACCAGGGGAAGCATTGCACAAGCTCTGCAAGCACTTTGTGGAATATTTAGCTGGCACTTTTCTGGAGCGTTTGTGAGCATTTTCTGATATTTCTGAAGGCATGCTGGGAAAACGTTATGGGAAAATAGCAGTCAAGTAGGAGAGCCATATGAAAAAAATCAACAGCAAATAATAATGAAAGAAGCTGATTTATACCTCAGATAAATCAATGCTAAAGCAGAAATTCACTGCATGTAGCAGCATTTCTTGCTAGGAAAGGGCAAGGCTAAGCTGTGTGTTGTTTCTGTAATGAGCTCCCTTCGTTACTACTCCCACCAAGATGAGAGACACATCAATGTGTCTGCACATTTCAGGAAATCTGCCAGTCTCCCACCTTCCTCCCTCTTGGCTTACCATTAATTTTAATCAGTTTTTGTCAGTTTTCAAGAATACAGGCACTGTTTTAACAAAACCAGCCTGCTTTGCATCGTGCAGAACCGAGCCTCACTTAAACAATTTCTGTTCACTAGAGCTATAGTTGTCTCCTCAGATTTTATCCCTTGAGATAAATTTCTTCTTCAACATGATTTTAAGGATTATACACCCCTCTCCCCTTGTCCTGCCCCTCGTGGGACAGTCTTTCCAACCAAAGAGGAGAAGCAGCTTCCCCAGCACAGCACCTGCCTCCACCCCTCTCCACTGTTCTATTTTAAAGCTTTCTCCATAGGTCCATGACTTTGAAAGGTATTTAGACCACACCTTGCAGACTGTTCTACTCTACTCTTTTTTTCCAGGTCCCCCTGCCCTCCTGTGCAGAAACCTCAGTGTTTGAGAGCAGAGCCTTGGTCCTTGTGACAGACTTGCCTCCAGAGAGCCAGGACAACTGCAAAATGCCACCAACAGCGGCAGACAGAGCCTGAGCAGTTAACAATTGCCAGCCAAGGCCCCAGAAGGGTGTATATTCCAGGAAGAAGCCAACCCCTTGAGCAATTTAACAGGCCTGCCAAGGACAGCCAAGTAAAACCAGATGCAGTGGGTTGGATAGATTGAGAGTGGCAGTGACACGGGCAGGCAGTGGGAGATGAGAAAATGAGGAGGGGACAAAGAGATGAGAGGGGAAGTGAAAGGGGAAACCAAAGAAGTGCAACAGGGAGAGAACAGACATGGGCAGCAGGTTTGGTAAAATATGAAATCATGAATTATCGTATTATTTTATATACTTTATATATTTTATATATCTATATAAAATTACCTTATAAAAAAACACCTGTGACCTTACCATTTTTATCTGCAGTTTTACCCTGAGTTTTGCCTGAAACTGTGCCCTCCTATTTCAGTCTGTTTGTCTTCAATAATTCCTGGTAACTGCACGTGTGCTCACTTCACACAGTAGAGGTCAATGCAGTACTTTCATAAAATAACTGAGGCTAATGGTAAGGGAATGGCAAATGTACAACATAAACAAATTTCAGCAACTTGAAAGGGCTTTGCATGCCTCCTGAAATAATTCCTGACACCAGTTCAGTACACTAACCTTTGCCTTTAGAATAGCTATAGTCAGATAAATCATTTAACTCTACCATCAAGATTGTTACCTTTGGCTTTTTCCATTACTTTCTATCTTGTTATTCAATGACTTAAATCATTCACTAGGGTCTACTTCATCAAGCTCCAATAATCTATAAAAAAATCTATTTCTACCATGGGTTTTTTATGATTTTTCACCAGTCAGCCCAGTTTTCTTTACAAACATGACTGAATTTCTCTCTACATTGAGGGGGCGAAAAAAGTCCATTTCCACCGTGGGTAATAAAAAAAGTGTTGGAAGGCGTAAAGCTATTGCAGAATGAACAAATATATCTTTAGGTAATACCTGCCTTCAGAACCAAATAAATTAGTCTTCAGAGACTGGGCTAAGGGGACAGGCTGTGGAGCTTGAGTTGCTTGGGGCTGGAGCAGCACATCCCCACTCTGAGTGCACACAGGCAGAAACACAGCACAGAGCAAGCAGAGTCTTATATAAACATGTCTGGGGAGACACAACCAGCCCTCTCTTCCCACATGTCTCTGAGCTACAGTCCTGAGGATCAAACAACAGAGCGGGGAGGAAAAGCACCTCCCTCCCCCCAGTATACAGCTGTTCCAATAGCAGATGTCAAGAAAGTCCCTGCAGCAAATTTTGGTGTGTGCAGGATGCTGGGTGCAGTCCCAGCTCCAAACCGTGGTGACAGGGGTGTGCCCTGGCCTCAATTGCCATCAGTGAGGTCTCCCTGACTTGATGGCACAAAGCGCTTTTACAAAGGGCAGTTATTTTAACTGGAGTGTGGAAAAACCTCGCCGTAGTCTTTGTAAGTGCTGTCTAATGGAAAACGAATTAACAGAACAGGAGGAGTAGGTATGGGAGCAATCTCCTAAAGCCTCATTGTTATAAAGCAATACACAAACATACAGCCTAAGCCATTATACTGAAAACAATCATCTTCCTAAAATAGCCTGCAGCAGAAAAGGATCTGTTACCAAACATTAACACTCTGTGCTCGTTACTAGTCAGACCTTCTCCTGATGTTTTTCAGGATTCTCTGCAGTTTGGGAGGAAGCCTCGATCCTAAATAAATTGCTAAACTTTCAGCCTCCCAGATTAACTACACGGTGGAAAACATGAGCTGCAGTGAAAGAAAAGGGGAAGAGAAGCAATCTCCCTGCAAATGCTGTTCAGATAATTTTCAAAGTTTTATTCCCACTGCAATGTCAATGGAAATTTTTACAGAGATGTATAAAAGTGGAGCAATCCTGATTCATTCTGGAGATAGTTTTTAGAAAAAAATAGGGATATGACATAGAAAGGATTCCTGCCCCACTCCCAGCTCTTTTCCCAGAGGAAGGCTTGGCCCAAAGGAGCCACACAGAGGACCTGAGAGACTGTCATGTTCAGTTCATGGAGCTCAGCCCCATGCCTGGCACGTGCCTGGCTGGGCAGTCACAAACTGATAGTTATTGTACCCTGCTCCAGGCCCTTCTACTCCTCTGTGCGCACACCAGGCTGGGGAACAGACTCTGTAGGACGTGAACTTGGATAAGCATGAAACACAAGTGAGAAAGAACGATTTGAAACAGTGGAGTGAGTGACCTGAAATCCATTTAACCCAGGTACAAATCCAGATCTCCGAGGACACAAACACATCCCAGCTCCCCACAAAGTGGGACCAGCTTTGCTCTCCACAGGAGCCTCCTCACCTCCCAGAAGGTGGCAGCTGCTCCCTCAGGAGCCTCCATTTGTTTCCTTCTCTGTTCTATGTGACACCCCCAGCATTTCCTGGGACAAAAATCTCCATCCTGATCTCCATCCCCCTCGCTGTCAAAGCTGCCGACCCTACTCACGACTCTGCAGAGGGAAAGTTATCCCTGTGCTGAACATGGGACACAGAGCTCATTCCAGCCTTGACTTACTTAGATATCCACCGCTGGTCCTCTGCTCCAAACCATCTCCTCTCCTCCAGAATCTGAAGTTTCAGCCTCAGTAGTAAGTCCTCCTAAAAACCCCAAAAAAATAAGAAACAGTCTCCTTCGTGCTCTTGGTGACTTCATTAGATCTGGTTGAAAAAGTTAAGATCATGCCTACACTAATGTACTTGAAAATTGTCCTTGTTTTGTTGTTAATTGAAACACAGCATTAACTGCATTATTATCATTAGTTTGCTATTTTTTTAGATAACAGTTTTCTTGCATTTTTGCGTGGCATCCCATTTAACAAAATAATTTCTTTTTCAAGACTGGTAATTTCAGGGGGAAAAAAAAGCCTGTGTCTATTTCAATACAACTTTACCAAAAAAACTTGTACAGTAAATTTAAATTTTGCATTAAGAAATTGTAAAAAACCCACAGAGAATATTTCCTTATAATGATCTGTTTCCAATTTGTTACAGTGACAGCAAACTTGACATTTCAAGGAGTTCTCAGAAAATTCTGCTTTTATTTTTTCAGTCAGATCTAGTATTTATATTAAAAACTGTTTTGCCAAGAGGCTCACATTCTGTCACTGACAAATGGAGCAGAGCCTGCCAAAACAGAGAGATACTACTTTTCTTCCTTTTGGAACCTTTGTCAAAGGGCAGAAAAGATCTTAGGAACTCCAACTATACTTTTAAGCTAAACATCTAAAATGTTAATGAAATTTTGGGGCATACTTAATATTGCAAAACCACAAAGGGGGAGGGGGGAAGAGAAAGAAAAAAAAAAAAGAAGAGAGGAGCTGGAAGCTGCCTTGATCAAGACATTAGAAAAACAGAAATAAGGCTAAAAGTGAAAGAGTTATGAGAGCTGCACGAAATGTTTTTCATTAGAGCAAGATAGCTCTGAATATGAATATTTAAGGAGGTCATTGGAATGGATCTGGCACAGCATCATGTGCAGGAGGAGTGAACTCCAGTCCTGGGTGTTCAGAGCACAAACAGGGATTTTAGAAGCTCCTGACACTCCACACCACCCCATGATTAGAAAGTTACACAAACCAGCCCTCCTGGAAAGGCCTTGGGGGTCTCTGCACCCACTCAGCCATGAATCCTAAAGAAATTTAGAGCTCCCAAAGGACTCTGCTGATGCAAAGAGGAAGAGTCTTCTTACCTTCAAGTGTGATCTCTTTTTTTTTTTAAGAGAAGAAAAACGCAGAATTTCCTCATGTTTTAAAAAACCCCACACCTTTTGTCTCCTAACAGTAAACAGTAAAACAGCAAAAACAGTAAAAAAATGTTTAATACCTGGGATGTACCTTCTTTCCTCTTCTAAACAGAGTGACTGGGCTCCAGAATACACACAACTCCCATCACTTGCACCATGTTGAATGCAGAGTAAATACTGATGCATGTTAATGAGCAAAACAATGGCTTGACCTGGTGTAACCTCACAAAGCCCTGTCACACCCCTCTACCCATGCCTTCATTTTATCCCAACCCCCTTCCCAGCGAGAAATAAAGAAATAACTCTTTCAAATCTCTGCTTACTAAGTGCTGGAACTTCCTTTTTAAAAACTTGTGTTTTAAAGCAATACAAACTCCACAGAAAATCCAAGAGCACTGAATTAGAAGGCTGCCTTAAGCCACCACCATTTTCCAAAACAACCTGACCATTAGAAAAAGAATAAAAATGTAGCCAAAAGCTCAATTAGGATCAAATTAAAGGTCATTAAAGCCCAGAATCTTGTGTCTGAGAGCAATCAGCTGGGGATACTCATCTTGCACAGTCTGTTAGCAGGGATTCTCTCCTGGCTCCTGGCAATCAGTAATTCAGAAACTTCTAGAGACAGAGGTAAGTACCAGCAGCTGGATTTATCCTCCAAAGATGCTCTAGGCCCTCCCTGAACCCACAGGTGGCTCTGGGCTCTGCATCCTCCTGCTGTAACACTCATCAGGCAAAACCAGCACTGTCCTAACCCTGTTTTTCCTTTCCATCTTGAAGCTCATCTGACCCAGAAATGAAGAATTTTTACTATACAGCCTGGGCTTTCCATAAGGCTCCTGGTTTTGAACTGACACATGTTTTTAAAAGGGATTTTTTCCTTCGTTTATACAAATGTAAACAGAGCTGTAAATACATAAGCAGGGCGACTGCTTACCTAAGGAACAGTGGATGATCTCAAAAGCCTGCTTGTCAAATACACCTCGTGCAAGTATTAACAACTGTTTATTTTGGAAACGGAACAAAAGCATCCTGAGATAAAGCAGCGTTGCTGATGTGGAAAAACCGGAACATTCCACATTATTCACAATCATCCCGCCAGTAAAGAAATGTGAATTAGTTTCCATTCCTGTTCTTGGGAACAGGAATATTTTTCACATCTTAAGAGAAGAGGGTTGGGCTTAAGGACTTGAGGAAATGCTTCCATGAGAACAGACAGTCACGGATAAATAGAGCTTCACCTCTTTTTCATGGGGCCAGACTGTCAATTAAGGGCAATCAGATTTGGCAGCTCAACACAATCCCAAACACACCTACTCACGCGAAATGCTGCGTGTGCAAGCGCTGTCTGACAGGTCTGTAACGTCCACATGCATGGAAAATGGGCAGAAGATGCTCAGCAATTCGTGTTCACTCAGCACTCTCCGTTCTCTGAGTCGTGGGCTGACCTCCACCACTGCTGAATTCATCACACAAACTCCTGGAGAATGTGCCCCTAAATTATGGCCTGTGTTTTTATGTCCCACCCATTACCACCGAGTTAATTACAGCCTGGATTTAAACATTATCATTACTTACATCGTGTAAGATGTGTCAAAGGGAAGTAGGCACGTATGATGTCAGGTCCCTCTCTCTAAATTGTTTAAATAAGGGAGGAAAAGACAAAGAAATTATATAGTA